TCTACCTGGGATCTCCCCAGCTTGCCTGCCCACCATGGCCAACAAGGAAGCAGCCTTTGACTATCCAGTGGAAAAACATGTGATCAATGAGGAGTATAAAATATGGAAAAAGAACACTCCTTTTCTTTATGATTTGGTGATGACCCATGCTCTGGAGTGCTCCAGCCTAACTGCTCAGTGGCTTCCAGATGTAGCCAGATCTGAAGGGAAAGATTTCAGCATTAATCCACATGTCCTGGGGACACACACCTTGGATAAACAAAACCACCTGGTGTTAGCCAGCGTGCAGCTCCCTAACTATGATGCTCAGTTTGATTCATCACATTATGACAGTGAGAAAGGAGAATTTGGAGGTTTTGGCTCAGTTAGTGGAAAAATTGAAATAGAAATTAAGATCAACCATGAAGGAGAAGTAAACAGGGCCCGCTATATGCCCCAGGACCCTTGTATCATTGCAACAAAGACTCCATCCAGTGATGTGCTTGTTTTTGACTATAGAAAACATCCTTCTAAGCCAGACTCTTCTGGAGAGTGCAGCCCAGATTTGTGTCTTTTTGGACACCAGTAGGAGGGTTATGGGCTTTCTTGGAGCCCAAATCTCAGTGGGCACTTAGTGCTCCCGATGACTATACCATCTGCCTGTGGGACTTCAGTGCTGTTCCAAAGGAAGGAAAAGGGGTGGATACAAAGGCCATCTTTACAGTGCATACAGCAGTAGTGGTAGATGTTTCCTGGCATCTTCTTGCTCCATGTATCTCTCTTTGGATCAGTTGCTGATGATCAGAAACTTGTGATTTGGGATACTCGTTCAAACAATACTTCCAAACCAAGGCACTCAGTTGATGCTCACACTGCTAAAGTGAACTGTCTCTCTTTCAATCCTTGTAGCGAATTCATCCTTGCCACAGGATCGGCTGACAAGACTGTTGCCCTGTTGGATCTGAGAAATCTGAAACTGAAGTTGTATGAACCACATAACGATGAAATATTCCAGGTTCAGTGGTCACCTCATAAGAGACTAATTTGGCTTCCAGTGGTGCCGATCGCAGACTGAATGTCTGGGATTTAAGTAAAATTGGAGAGGAAAAATCCCCAGAAGATATTGAGGATGGGCCACCGGAGTTGTTTATTCATGGTGGTCACACTGCCAAGGTATCTGATTTCTCGTGGAATCCCAACGAACCTTGGGTGATTTGTTCTGTATCAGAAGACAATATCATGCAGGTGTGGCAGATGGCTGAGAACATTTATAATGATGAAGACCCTGAAGGAAGCGTGGCTCCAGGACAAGGGTCCTAGATATGTCTGCACTTCTTGTGATTTTAGACTCTCCCTTTTTCCTCTCAGCCCTTCAACTGATTTAACACTGGTTTTGAGACATACATTAGACTATCCTTCTATGATAGGTATCACCAACACTATTACCCCAAACAGTGGGCATTTCTAAATACGAACTGGGGGACTTAATTTAGCAAAGCCACAGACTTAGATTTAAATTTTCTTCAGGAAATTTCTAGTAACAAATCCAGGTCTAAAGTAGCCACAGAAAAGGGAATATTATGTGTGATTATTTTTCTTCTGATGCTGTATCCCCAAGTTTTTCAGACTCATTTAAGTAAATGCTATAGTAAGTAAGGAGTAGAGCCAAGTGAAGTAGGTGTCTGAGTCATGAAGTATAAATACTGCGAGGTGCCATTTTTATTCAGGACATAGGGGAGATTCAAGTCATAGATTCCTACTCTAAAAGCCTTCACACCTATATATATATATATTTTTTTTTTGGAGAGGTTTTCGCTATAGGGCGCGTGCACTCGCCAGACAGACAGAGAGAGACATAGAGACAGAAAGCGAGAAATCACCCCCCAGAGGGGATGGTCACGCCGCAATCCCTTCTCCTCCATTTTCCTCTCGGGATCTTGGGCACGCACGCACACACGCCCGGCGTGAGTTTTAAGCCACCAGGTCCAGGACATGAACCGCAGTCGACTACGTGGGAGTCCAGCGACATAGCCATTACGCTAACTGCTGGTTCCCTCATACCTAGTTTTCTGGGTGCACATTTCCTGGTAGACCAGGCTCCTTGGATTCTTCAGTTAAGAAAACTATATGTTCTTCTTTGTCCATATACTTTTGCTTGTTAGTGTATTTCTTGAGCTGTTTTCATATTATTTCTTTCCTTTCTGTGAAGTGGTTTTTGTTTTTAAACTTGGGACCACCAAGTTGTAAAGATGAATGTTTTTATCTGACAGCTATACCACAAGTAGACTATTAAGTGGAAAGAATGAGTCCTTAACCACTAGTTTGATACCATCTCCATTTGGGGTGACCTGTCTCACCACCAAGCCTGTTAGTCTCCATGATTAACTACATAAGTGCTTATAATGGAATAAATTGTTTTTCTACATTAAAAATTTTTTTTCTAGAAGGAGACTTTTGTTATAGGGTGTGTGTGCTCACTGGAGAGACAGAAAGTGCAAGAAATCACCCCCCAGGGGGATGACCACACTGCAGTCCTTTCTTTTCCCTTAGGATTTTGGGCATGCATGTACAGACACCCAACTCCTCCAGGGTCTGGGACTCGAACCACGGTCAGTCATGTGGGAGTCCAGCGACATAACCATTACTCCATGTGCTGATCCACCATTCTTTTAATTACTTTCTAAAAAAGTAACCCTGATTTGGGACCAGCAGTTAGCGTAATGGCTATGTTGCTGGACTCCCACGTAGTTGACCGCGGTTCGTGTCCTGGACCCGGTGGCTTAAAACTCACGCTGGGTGCGTGTGTGTGCATGCCCAAGATCCTGAGAGGAGAATGGAGGAGAAGGGACTGCGGCGTGGTCATCCCCCTGGTGGGGTGATTTCTCGCTTTCTGTCTGGCGAGTGCACGTGCCCTAAAGCAAAAACCTCTCCAAAACAGAGTAACAGTGATTTTTTCTTTTGAGTGAGATTTTTGCTATAGGGTGTGTGCATTCACCAGTGAGAGACAGAAAGAAAAAAATCACACCCCCCCCCCCGGGGGCGATGGCCATACTGCAATCCCTACTCCTCCATTCTCTTCTTTGGATTTTGGGCATGTATACACACACGCCCAGTGTGCATTTTAGGCTGCCTGGTCCGGGACTTGAACCATGATTGACTATGTGGGAGTCCAGCAATGTAACCATTACACCATCTGCTGGTCCCAATACTGATTCTTAGAATTCCCAGTAGCTCTTTTCCTTCAGTGACAAAAGTAATTTTGACTAGTCTATTAGGTCACTGTCCTAGGGACTATATAATTACCTACAAACTATCAAGGAATTTATAATCTAGGTACAAAGATATACATTTTTTAAAAAAAATTAATTTATTTATTTTAATTTGACAGGAGAGGGACAGAGTGAGAGAAAGTAAGAAACCAAGCCATCAGGTTCGGAACTTGAACTGCAGTTGGCCATGTGGGAGTCTAGCACCCTTAACCATCATGCCATCTGCAGGCCCCAAAGATATAAACTTAAAAAATATATTTATTTAATTCCATTTGTTATTTTAAAAATTTGATGAGAGAGAGAGAGAGAGAGAGAGAGAGAGCAAGCAAGTCCGTGTGCACACAAGGGAAAGGGAGAGAGCAAGCCAGCAGGTCCAGGACTCAAACTATGGTTGGCCATGTGGCAATCCAGCACCTTTATCCACCATGCTACCTACCTGTCAGCCCCCATACTCTGCTTTATGTAAATAAAATTGAGTCCTTTCCCCCTCTCATTATAAAAAAATATGCTTCTTGAATGAGAATCCATCAGGATATTTGACACTTAGACTGTATGTTCCTTTCAACTAATGTAAGTATATACACCCTTTGACTACATTTACTTGAAGGTAAAATTGTTCTATGCATATATTCAAACTTGAAGAAAAAATGCTGGCTCTAAAATAGCAAGAGCTTGTTCTTTTGTTCTTCACTGCCATCACCTAGTTTCTAGAGCAGCATCAGGTAAAAAATAGTTGAAAAAATTTTGAATGGTGTGTATACCAACAGTAAAACAATAGGATGAGAACTACTTGCTAAGATAAGAGCATGACTGACAAGTTATTCACAGTTTTGGATGTTATTCTCCTGGGCTGATGTTTATAAAGTTAAACACATGCTACATTACATCACAGAATTACGTATATTCAGTTTCCTTTAGAAGGACTTCAGTAGTCTGAAATAAGAACTAACTAAATTTAGAATAAAAGAAACTCAAGAACTAATCATATAATGATCTTGGGTGGACACAGAAAACACAGACATAAAAGCGGGGGGAGGGAAGTTCATAACTTGAACCAATTATGTACAGACCATTTCCTTTTAATTAAAGAGTCACTGACTGGGGCTGGCAGGTGGCATGGTGATTAAGGGTGCTGGACTCCAACCACAATTTGAGTCCCAGGCCTGGTGTCTTGCTTTTTCACTTTCCCTCTCTCTCTCTGTCCCTTTCTGGTCAAATTAAAATAAATAAATAAAGTTAAATAAAATAATTAAAAGAAAAAGAGTCATTGACTTATCAACTTTGATTAAAGGTACAGCATCCTATAATGCACATCAATATATATTATCTGATGCATAAAGAGGTCAGACTTGTGAAATAAATCTCTAAAATATTCACTTTCACAGAGCTTATTTGCTTCAGATGTTCACTGATATTTTGCTGAAAATGTTCCAGTTGGTGTGTTTGTAGTTTTATTTATATGATTTCCTCTGAACTGATGAGGCAGCATGTACCACTGGTAACTCTGCAATATTCACTGACTTCAAAAGTCTTCTAACAGTTACTCTCCTGAGTAAACTCTATGATACCTACTTAGGTCTGGAATTTCTAGGCAAGGACTTTCCCACATCATTACATTTCACCCAGCTATGAGATCACTAATGATCTATGATCTTTTGCCATTAAAGACTCCCAGTCTCTGCCATTGTACTCTTTTTTTCTTAGTATACACTTATCAGCCATACATGAACTAGAAGATTTTACTCAAGGGTTTTACTCAACTATGATGTAAGTACTACAATATTCACTGCATTCATAATGTTTCTCTCCTATGCAAATTATATTGTCTGTTGAGGGTGAACATCTGGCAAGTGGTTGTCCCACAATGGCAACATTATCTGGTTGGAGCTCACTGCGGGTCCTGTATGAGTTTTCTGATGGGCAGTGAGCTATGATTTCCAGTGAAATCTGAGCTGCCACAGAAGGCATCTGCACAGCCACAGGGTTTTTCTCTTTTATGAGATCACTTGTGTGTGATTCTTTGAGAAAGGATTTTCCAGTGTGACTGAACCTACACATTTCTTTCTTGCATGCAGCATTCCCTTATGGTAGACAAGAGAGACCATATGGCAAGTGGGAGAAAGCCTTTCCACAATCAGAGCAGCCATATGGTCTCTCTCCTGTATGAGTTCTCTGATGTCTGTTGAGACATGACTTATTCTGAAAGCTTTCCTGCAGTCACTGCATATATAGGGCTTCTGTCCTGTGTGAATTCTCTGATGGTTAATGAGACCTGACTTATGTGAGCAAGATTTTCCACACTCAGTACACACAAAAGGAGTCTTTCCTGTGTGAAATCTCTGATGTGATATTAAGCATGTTTTCTGGCTGAAGCCTTTCCCACATTCACTGCATATGTAGGATTTCTCTCCAGTATGAGTATGTTGATGTATAAGGAGATCGCCCTTCCGGATGAAGCCTTTTCCACATTCACTGCAAATAAAAGGTTTCTCCCCAGTGTGAGTTCGCTGATGTACAACAAGATTGCCCTTCTGAATGAAGCCCTTTCCACAATCACTGCATATATAAGATTTCTCTCCCATATGTATTTTCTAGTGTGCATTGAGTTGTGATTTCCAGCAGAAAGCTTTGTCACATTCAGTGCATTCATAAGGTTTCTCTCCTGTATGAGTTCTCTTATTTCAATGAGCCTGGACTTTCTGAAAAATGCTTTCTCACACAGACCGCACCCATGAGGTTTCTCTCCTATGTGAATTCTCTGATGATTAATGAGCTGAGACTTCTTGGCAAAGCCTTTGCCACAATCACTACATACATAGGGTTATTCTCCTGTATGAGTTTTCTGATGGGCAATGAGCTATGATTTCCAGTGGAATGCTTTGTCACATTCAGTGCATGCATACCATTTTTTCTCCTCTATGAGTTTTCTGATGTTCAGTGAGCTTGGGCTTTCTGGAAGCTTTCCCACATATAATGTATCTATGAGCTTTCTCTCCTGTATGAACTCTCTGATGATCAATGAGGCAAGACTTTTTGAGGAAGGCCTTCCCACATTCAGTGCATACTTGGAGTTTATTTGCCTTTTGATTTCTCAGACATTTAATGAATTGTGAATTTATATTCATAGAGTTTCCATATTCAGAGGACTTATTTTCAGTATAAAACTTTCTTGGTATGGAGGAAGGGTTTTCTAATTCCATTAGCCTCAACAGTATTCTTCAGTTCACGTCTTTGATTCTGGTTAACTAAAGTTTGATTTTAGTATTTTCCCATGTGAGTTAAATATATCATGATTTTGCCTTAAAGGAAAATGACTTTTCTTGCTTCCATATGCATTATGTTCATAGCATTGTTCCATTCTCTTCAGACAATTTTGGTTTTGCAAGTGCACTTACCTTTCTTGATTTCTAGAAAAGAAGAGAACAAAGAATCTTTTCATCTGGACCAGCAGTTAGTGTAATGGCTATGTTGTTGAACTCCCATGTAGTCAACTGCGGTTCGAGTCATGGACCCGATGACTTAAACTCACGCTGGGCTTGTGTGCATGTGTGTCCAAGATTCTGAGAGGAGAATGGAGGAGAAGGGATTGCGGCGTGGTCATCGCCCCTGGGGGGTGATTTCTTGCTCTCTGTCTCTCTCTCTCTCTCTGTCTTTCTGGCGAGCACATGCACCCTATAGTAAAAACTTCTCCCCCCCCCCAAAAAAAATCTTTTCATGAGCATGAAATATAATTAGACTACTTTACAATTAGGTTTGTGTAGGCTGGCTCTTTATTGATAACACTATTACCTCAGTTTAAAGACAAAGACACTCCAAGTAAGTGTGTTTGTTGCCCCTTGAACAAAGGTAAAAACATATATATATATGTATGTGTGTATATATATATGTGTGTGTGTGTGTGTATATGTGTGTGTGTGTATATATATGTGTGTGTGTGAGAGAGAGAGAGAGAGAGGGAAAATGAGAAATCACCCCCTAGGGGGATGGTCACGCTACAGGCCCTTCTCCTATATTCTCCTCTTCAGATTTTAGGTGCACACACACACCCAGTGTGATTTTCAAGCTGCTAGATTCAGGACTTGAACTATGAAGCTGGCCATGTGGGATCTAGCACCTTAACCTCTATGCCACCGACTGCAAACCATAATTTAAACAAAGAAAACAAAAGTATAAGTGCTCAATGTATAAACAAGATTAGATTATTCAAAATGATTTGGCCACTTTCTTAAATTGACCTTATAAAGTATGCTGAGATAGTAAAGTAAAATAAAGTCACTATTAGCACTGGACTACAGAAATTGGAGAGATATTTGTTTCAAAGTGATGAGAGATGCATTTGTACATCTACAAATCCTATTAAATTATGGCTATGTATCAAGCATGGAGCTGGTGATTGTGATACAGAAATATCTTTCTTTATTCTAAGAATATATTCTAGTTAGGGAAAATCAAACAAGGAAACAATGAAATGAAATAAAGAATATGCTACAATTTGGATATGACTTGTCATCCAAAAGTTCATGTACTGGGAGCTTGATTCCCAATGTAATGATACTGAGAAGTGTGAGGACCTCTAGGTGGTGAGGTCTAATGGGCAGAGTTTAGACATGGGAACTCCACTCTCATGAATAGATTAATGCCATCTGCAGGACTGAGAAAGTTTTTGCAGGAATAGGTTAGTTCACAAGTGGATTATCGTAAAAACAAGATGGCTGCACAGATGTTCACTCTTTGTAAGCTTTCCTTTCTGTTTCTGTTGGGAATGTGACACAGGACAAGAGGCCAGCCAGATGATGGTTCCAAGCTCTTGGGATTTCCAGCCACCATAATCATGAGCCAAATAAACCTCTTTTCTTTATATTTATATAAGGAAATATAAATATAAAAAAGTTATCTCACCTCAGGCATTTCTTTTTAGCAGCACCGTAACAGACTGAAACAAAATAGATAAAAATGATAAAAATTGGTCTGAAGGAGCAATGGAGAGGTGTATAGAGGAACTCAGGAAATAATCTGGAGAAAGAAAAAACAGGGTTCAATCATGGTTTCAATATGGGGAGATAAATAAAAGTGAGAAATTTAGGATTATCCCTAATTATTTGGATTCAGCCAAAAAGTGGCAGAACAGCACCTTTTAATAAGACGGGGAATATCCCTGAGGTTCTGAATATGGGGAAATTGAGTATGTATTTTAATGCATACCAATTTTAAGATGGGCTAAGTCCAGACATGAAATATCCAATTGGTTATATAAATCTTGAGTATGGTCTTGACTAGAGTCAACAATGTGAAGATCATTGATGCATTAACATTAAGAACAGAGAGGTGATGGGATCAGTGGATGGCGTAATGGTTACATTGCTGTATTCCCATGTAGTCGACCACAGTTTGAGTCCTAGACCTGGTGGATTAAAACTCATGCTGGGTGCATGTGCGTGTGTGCCCAAAATCCTGAGAGGAGAATGGAAGAGAAGGGATTGCAATGTGGCCATCCCCCCTGGGGTAGTGATTTCTTGTTTTCTGTCTCTGTGTGTCTCTCTGTCTCCCTGATGAGCGTATGCACCCTATAGCAAAAAAATTTCTCTGAAAAATAAGTAATGTAGAACTGGAGGCTAAAGCAGGCCAGAGAAGCTTAGGCTGAATTTGAACAGTACTGCCTACAGAGGGAGAAAGAGTTCAAACCCAATGAAGCTACAGTTCTGGAATCCCATGGTAGTTGCACCGAAGTAGAGAAGGAGACTCAGAAGAGGATGGCCAGCTTCCAGAACTACTTCCTACAGAACAGGGATGAAGTCTTGGATAACCTCTTGGCCTTAACATCTGGCCAGAAATTCATGAAAACTAGCACATAAATGGATAGGAGGAGAACAAAGTTCTTGTCCCATGGATTTTAGATGCCTTTATGGAATATGAAGCATTATAGATGTCCAGTTATATTCTTGGGAAAGGCATTAAATTATTTCTGTATATTATAAATACATATATATGTAAAATAAAAACAGAGAGGTATGTGAAATCATATTTGGAAAAATGTGTAAGCTAAAACAGAAAGATATAAAACAAAAATTATGATTACTGAGAGTTAGTTAGATGAATATTTGGAGTTTAGGTTTGGAAAAGCCCATAGAAGAGTACAAACATTAATGATGCTAATCAGAAAAATAAGCAGATACAGGCATTAGGAACAATTTCCCCAAATAGTATAAATTTAACATCTGATTTCAAGATAACTAATAGATGCCTGGATGGTCAACTTACTCCTCTAATTTGCTACCCTTCTTCATTCTATGGACCATAATCAAACCTTATTTCTCTAAGTACCAATTTCACATCGTTATTCAAATTCTACACAAGTATCTTGATTGCTTCCACTGAAGGGTTTCTAAAGGATCACACTGATCCCAGACCAAGCAATTATGTCATCCATTTTTATTAGAACTACAGGGTGTACTTTACTGTTGCTACATTTCTTGTACTTCTCACTTCTTACCTAGACAGATTAGACTGTGGATTTTATCTTCTACTGTTCATGATTCTCCTTGTTCCAATCTGGAGAGTACATCCAGCTTGTTGGCTTGATAACCTATTCATGGAAAACGACAGAATACTTAGGCTCACTAAATTGCACTGTGGTCTGTTAACATGAAGCAATGTTCTATTTTAGTAACTATGTATTTTTTTTTCTTTTTTCTGGAGAGGTTTTTGCTACAGGGCATGTGTACTCACCAGAGAGACAGAGACAGACAGAGAGACAGAAAGCGAGAAATCACCCTCCAGGGGGGATGGCCATGCCACAATTCCTTTTCCATTCTCCTCTCGGGATCCTGGGCACGCACACACATGCGCCTGGCGTGAGATTAAGCCACTGGGTCCGGGACTCGAACTGCAGTCGACTACATGGGAGTCCAGTGACATAGCCATTACGCTAACTGCTGGTCCCAGTAACTATGTAATTTTTGTGCCTGCAAATTAAAATCATCTTTTTGAAAGGGTGCATATTACACCCTTTTACCTGGGACCATAGAGAAGACGAAAAGCCCACTACTTCAGAACATCACAGAGTGTCCAGAGCTGAGAAAGGAAAAGCCACTGACTGGGCAACCATTGAGTGATACAGGGCAACTATCCTTACCCAGAGACACCAGGTTGCTGTAGTTCTCCAACATCACATCCCAGTAAAGGTCCTTCTGAGTTTGACCAAGGAGCTGCCATTCCCCCCAGGTGAACTCCACAGCCACATCTTCCAGTGTCAATGATTCCTATAAAAACACAGTCTTGCTTAATATCAGGCGTGAGATTAAGCCACTGGGTCCGGGACTCGAACTGCAGTCGACTACATGGGAGTCCAGTGACATAGCCATTACGCTAACTGCTGGTCCCAGTAACTATGTAATTTTTGTGCCTGCAAATTAAAATCATCTTTTTGAAAGGGTGCATATTACACCCTTTTACCTGGGACCATAGAGAAGACGAAAAGCCCACTACTTCAGAACATCACAGAGTGTCCAGAGCTGAGAAAGGAAAAGCCACTGACTGGGCAACCATTGAGTGATACAGGGCAACTATCCTTACCCAGAGACACCAGGTTGCTGTAGTTCTCCAACATCACATCCCAGTAAAGGTCCTTCTGAGTTTGACCAAGGAGCTGCCATTCCCCCCAGGTGAACTCCACAGCCACATCTTCCAGTGTCAATGATTCCTATAAAAACACAGTCTTGCTTAATATCAAGTATTTCTCTTTTACTGACATGGAAGGAATGTGAAGGATGCTCATTTTCAACATACAGGTAGTATCTGTATATCCAAATAATATAACTTATATCTCTTATCTGTTTATTATGGGTTATCTGTGGGGGCACAGCAGTAATGTAACACTCTGCAATACTGAACCCACATGGGAAGTTCCTTGATTTGTGTCCCAAGGTTTCCCAGTACACACCAAATGTGCAAGTACCCAAGATCTGGGCTACCTGAGCCTGGGAGTGGATCATGGCATGAAGACCCTATTGAGGGTATCTGTCTATCTTTCTCAGAGCAGAAATAAGTAAATTAAATGAAAAAAATTATGATAGAAGTAAAATCTATATCCAAAATCTACCTATACTTGAAATTTATCTCTAGCAAAATATACTATAATTATGCAGTCTATCATTTAACAAATCAGAAGTTTCTGTAATAACTAGTCACATAATCCTCTTCCTAATCGTTTTATTTCTTTTCCTGAACACATATTTGCCAGGCATTAAATATATTCTAGTGACATCAGAACAAGTATATTCCTACATTCACCATCAACCTTCATAACCAATATCAGAATCAACCATGAAAAAATTTCACACACTGGGGTCAGTAGGTGGCAGGGTGGTGCTGGACTCCTACATGGCTACCAGTTTGACCTGATAGCTTGCTTTCTCACTTTCCCTCTCTCTCTCTTTCCAGTGAGCATATATGTCTTATAGCAAATTTTAAAATAATAAATAAAACAAAAAAATAATTCCTTAAAAAAACCTACATACTACAACTAGAAGATACTACATATTAAAAAAATATATGAGTGATTTTGGGGGAAACGGAGGAATGAAGAGGTCCCACTGATAATTCAGCCTCCAGTATAGAAAACTCGTGTGGAGAGGCGGAAGGGAACAGAACAGCCCTTCTTCAAGAACCAGCTCCATGGCTCCTGCAATCTAGCCATTTTGGGGGAAATGGAGGAATGAAGAGGTCCCACTGATAATTCAGCCTCCAGTATAGAAAACTCGTGTGGAGAGGCGGAAGGGAACAGAACAGCCCTTCTTCAAGAACCAGCTCCATGGCTCCTGCAATCTAGCCATTTTGGGGGAAATGGAGGAATGAAGAGGTCCCACTGATAATTCAGCCTCCAGTATAGAAAACTCGTGTGGAGAGGCGGAAGGGAACAGAACAGCCCTTCTTCAAGAACCAGCTCCATGGCTCCTGAGATCTAGCCATGTCACACGGTTTTCTAATTTTTGTTGTTTTTTGAAATTTTTTGAATATTAATTTTTCTTTTTTTTAGTTTTATTTAAAGGTTTTTCTCTTCATTTTTTTCTTTTTCTTTGTTGTCTTTTTTTTCCCCCTGTTGTTGCTTTTGTTTCCCTCTCTCTGTTTCCTTTTCTACACACTCCTCGACGCTCAGATTGAACTTCCAAGTTTGGGACAAAATCGACCATCCACGAGATGACTAGAAATCGCTGCAGGACTACAAGAAATATGGGGAAGCAGGAAAATACCTCTCCTC